GTTGGGGATATGGCTACCATTGGGGACCATGGAGGGGTGTGTGGTTGGATTTGCGGAGGGGGGTGTAGAATATAGAGAATGAGTACAACATGGACCGATGGTCGGATGCAATGAAGGAAAAAATGAAATGAAAAAAAGAAAAAAAAATCGGTAAGAAAACCACAACTCAAGATGCACAATCACGCACAGAAAATGCATGCAAAGAACCACACAAACATGTGGGAGGTGGCAGGGGGGGGGGCATTAGATTGTGAGCCAGAAGGCCAGACCCCTGTTTCCCCAATGTCTCCCACAGCCCCTGCATCCCATGACCAGTACCTGGGATGGGCCCTGAGGGTGCAGGGAAGCCCATGTGTCTGCCCCCCACCCCCAGCTTTCTGGGCTCACATTCCACAACATGGATGTAGGTGCATGCAGAAATCAAGGTCTCATACAGGTACAGGGCCACAGGAGTCAAGGGCAAGCTCAGAGAAGGGTCAAAGGCGTGAAATATCAGAGGGTTACAGGGGGGGTTTCCGCTGGGTAGGGGAACACAATTTATATACTGAAGTGGGGAATCAAGGAACAAAGGTATAAACTAGGGAGAGGGCAGTTGTAGCAGCTATAAACCAGGAGTGTCCAAGTATGGGCTTGACATTGAAAAGCAAAAATCCCAAGAAAAAACCATCCTGAAGGTCAGGACCCAGCCCCATGGGTGGGATGGAAAGAGACCAGGGGGAGTCCCCACGGCCAGCATCCGAGCCCTCACCCAGCCCTAAATCCCACAAGCAGGTCTCCTCCTAGCATCCCGAGAAGCAGCAGACACACACCACAGCCACCCACCCTCCCTTCCTGGCCCCCTGTCGGCCTCAGGGGACTTGCAGGCCAATCACTGCTTTCCCTCTAGCCTGGGCCGGCAGCCAAGAGGAAAATTCCTGCCCAGGACTCAGCGTTCCAAGGGCTGGGGCTGACTCAGTGCCCCCCCACACACCGCTGTCCCCACTCACTCACACCCCCTCCCCAAGAGCCCTGGCCCCCACCTTGTTCTTTTTGCCAAAGGGCCAGCGTTTGGCACGGCTACGACCTGGGCCTCGCAGCTCAGGCCGGCCATCGGAGGGGGTGCCCAGGCTGCTGTCCGAGTGCGTTCTGTTCATGGGCTGGCTGAAGTCTTCGAATTCCACGTCGCCCGGGCGGGCAAAGCCTGACTTGTTCAGCTCAATTAGGACCTGGGAGTCCTGCAGGGAGGACATGGGGAGGGGGAAGGGCAGTCGGAAGTCAGACCAGGTGCCTAACTTCAGGGTCCACCTGCCCACCCCACAACCCACTGGCACAGGACCAGGCACGCACATTCTTGCTGTCCACAGCAGCCGCAGCCACCTTCATGCCCTCCAAACACTTGGTGATGATCGGAAGCACCTGCAGCTCCGCCTCTGACAGCAGCCCGTACCCAGCCCCCAAGTGGGTGGCCCGGCGCTCATCCATGTCCTGTAGCTTCTACAGGGACAAGGCAGGGGTGCTAATGGAGGGGCCAGAGCACAGATCCTTCCCACCCAAGGTGGTCAAGGGAGAGACAAGGGGCCAGGTTGGTTTCAGAGGGGACTTTAAGGACCCCTCCCCACCCCCACCCCCGCCCAGGGAGTAAAGAAAGGCTTCTCAAAGGAGGTGGCAATGGAGCCAGGGCTTTGAAGGAAAAGCAGACCCAGCACAGATATTGCCAATCCCAGGATTAGGACAAAAGAGTGGAATATAAGGCTGAACAAGGAGAGGGAAAATTCAAGATGTTTCAGAGGGGGTGTTAGAGCTGGGGCTTAGAAAAACGAACAGGATGTTCAAGAGACAAGGAAGACATCCCT